ACTTTCATGTGAGCACCACTTTGTTTATCAACCTTAGCTTTAAAGTGTTTGAATTTCTGAAATATTTCTGACTTATGTTCCAAAAAAATAAACCTAATTCATGCGACTAAAATCATTGGTAAAGAGTAAAAAATAATGGCTCCCACCAAAAGATGCAGCATGCATAGGTCCACATAAATCAGTATGCATTACTTCAAGACATTTTGAAGCCCTCCAGCTATTTTCTACTGGAAAAGATTTTCTAATTTGCATCCGATAGATACACCCTTCACTCAACTCAATAGAATTAATTTTTGACAACCCAAAAACCATACCTTTATCACCCAACAATTTCAAGCCTTTGATATGCAGATGCCCATACCGAAGATGCCATAACTGCGAGTCATCTAATCTGGCAGCAACTAGAACCATATCCTGCACATTTGAGGCTTGCAATGAAAACATCTTCTTTTCAGTCATGTTGACATTGATCATCATTTGGCCTGATTTCTTGTATCTAATAACACATGCACCATCCTCAAATAATATTAAATAACCTCCAGCTATTACTTGTCCAACACTTAATAAATTATATCCCAAATTAGGTACAAATTGAACATTATGCAGGAGTTTTACTTTACCATTACTAGTTTCAAGTGTCACGGTACCTTTCCCTTCAACTTGAATTTCTTTTCTATTTCCAAGTTGAACCTTCACTTTTTGTGCTTCATCAAACTCTTTGAATAAAGATTTTATGCCAGTCATGTGATTTGAACAGCCACTATCTATAAACCACACATCAATTGAAATATTATTAGTAGCAAAATGAGCTATAAAAAGCTTACTTTCTTCTCCATTCTCTGCTGTATAATTCAATTGTTGATCATTATACCCAACAATCAGCTTTTATATTGCCATATCTGTCGCAATGATATCATTGAATGCCATTTTTGTGTTTGTTTTGCTCTCCAAACTGCCTTTGTTGCCCATAAAATCGACCTCTACCCCTGCCTCGACCCATGCCACGGCCATAAAATCCTCCTCTTCCTCGGCCTTTACTTGCCGAAGTTTCACCTTCTTCAGTTCTTGTTGCTGCCTCTCTCACTTGGAATGCTCGTTCTTCTTTCTTTTCAAGTGATTAATTAATTCTGGCTTCATGTGCTTGCAAAGATCCCATTAATTCATCAAATGAAAAAATTGACAAATCCTTTGTTTCCTCTATGGCAGCAACTACATGGTTAAATTTATGAGTCAAGCTTCTCAATACCTTTTCAACAAATGTTTAATCAACAAGAGTCTCTTCATAAGATCGCATTTGACTGATTACTGCCATGGTTCTAGACAAAAAGTCAGCGATGGATTCTCCATTTCTCATGACCAAGGTCTCAAAGTCTCGCTGAAGTGATTGCAATTTCACCCCGATCACCTTGAATCACCTTGAAACTCCTCCTTCATAATCAACCAAGCCTGCTTTGATGTGGTTACTGCTGCAATACGTGAGAAGATGCTGTCATGGATAGCTTGCTGAATAATTACTAACGCTTTTGGAGTTTTTCCTTTTGTTGTCCCTTACTCTGTTTTCTCCATCTGGATCTCCATAGCCATATTCTACCAAGTCCCAAAGATATTGAGATTTGAGTAAAATTCTCATTCTTATACTCCATAACTCAAAACTTTCACCTTTAAAAATGAGAATGAGTGGTTGTACGGCACTAATTGCATTACCATTGCCAGCCATATATTCTTTTTTTGTTTGTTTCACTCGCCTCAGCTGTTTATCTCTCTTTACTCCCTCAAAATTTTAGCTCTAATACCAAAATTGTTGGAAAATTTTTGAGAAATAGAGTTTGAAGGAAGAAACTTTCTGCAGATAAAGGACCCAAAAATTGCAGAAAGACTTGCTGCTATTTGCTCTATTATTCCAGAACTAAACATGCCTTCATACAGGCTTACAACAAAACTGAAAATGCTAAAAATCCTTACCATAATCTCAAATCTTTTGGCTTTCTCTTTCTCTGGCCTTTTTACTTTATACAATCTACAACCAATATCTGTCTAATCGTACGTGAAAGAAAAGTTTGTAACTGATGGGTTTTAAAGCATTTGACACTACGAAAGAGATAGAGAGAGATGGGCCTTTTAAATTCTCTCTGTTTCAGACTCACCATTTTGGAGGGCGAACCCTTTGTTTCTTCTCTCTCTAAATTAAGACCTTCCTTCCCTACATGAAGTCTTTTTATTCATAACAGTTATCTCTTTAAGTTTTTAAATATAAAATTTTAATTTAATTATAAATGTATATAATAGTTATCTATTTAATTTTTTAATAAAATTGATAATATATAATTATCTATTTTAATTTGTAAGTGGTATATTTATAATGGTTATTTATTTAATTTTTTAAAAATTATAGAAATAAAACTTTGTTTTTTGTCAACTACAAATATATTTAAATAGTTATTTCTTTAAATTTTAAGTTATTACAAACTTTTTAGTTATATATTATGAAAAAAAAAACTCTTGAGAAATAAATATTTATTAATAATAAGATTATATTATTGTGCCCCAAAAAATAAGGCATGTGGGGAAGTCAAAATAGGTGGATTGTCAGAGCAAGGAAAGTCCGGTCCTGACATGGCCCAGCTGAAAGCCCAACCATAACTTCATTGACAAAAGTAAATGGGTTCAGGTCGGCCCATTATGCACATTGCACACCAATTCTATCTTATTTTTATCCTTTCAATTTTTCAATCTTCAATCCATGATATAAAACTAAAATTATTTTTATTTGAATACGAATATAAAGTATTTATAAATATATTATACACATTAGTGCCTCTCTAAAAAAAAAAAAAAAAAAAAAATGACCTCCTCCATTAATGCCTCTCTATTTTCTTTCCCCACAATTCCCTCAACTTTTGCTTTCGCGAGGAGAATGTGGGTCAGGGAGTAATCCATGTTTCGTTAGGAGAATAAAAAATGAATCCGACCTTTCTTCGGTTATAAATACTTGTCTTTCATTTTTCGATAATATGCTTAGATGAAAGAGAATCCGATCTATCTCCATCTACAATACTCTTTCTTTCAGATTCTGAGTCGTTTTCTGCTGTCATTATAACGTGTTCTTTTTTAGTCATCTAATGACATTATTTTTGAATGCAAACTTAATCATTTGAAAGTGAACACGTTATTTTTTATTCGTTGAAATTGTAATGAATATTAATAATAAAAATTATATTATACAAAAGAATCATGTGATTAAAAATTTTAATAATAATTATAAAAAAAAAAATAGTGTCGAGGAGAAAATGATAAAGTGATTTAGAAAAGGAATGGTAAGTGATTTAAAAGAAGAAAAGGAAAAAAAGTAAAAAAAAACTATTATATGAAGGAAAAGCTAAATAATAAAAAGAGAAGACAAACAAGCAAAAAAAAAAAAAAAAAAAAAGAGAGTGGGTATGCATATATATGGTTAAAAAGAGAGTATGTGTATAGACATGTATGTACTGTAGTTCATCTAATACAAATATATATATATATATTTTCTTTTAAAATAATAATACAAGTATATATATTGTGCAAATAACTATTTTTTTTTATAAATAATAATAATAATAAAAGATAAACCATTAAATTAATCTTTAAAGTTTAACATTATTTAATTACTAAAAAAAAATATTATTCCAATTTGATTCCAAATGTTTGCTCATTACAGTTTAGTTCTTAATTTTGTATTTACTTTAAACACTCAATTTCTTATTATTTTCTACTGAAAAAAGAGATTAAAATGATTATGTCATATTTGATATTTTAAAATTTAGTGAAAAATGATATTGACTAATTATTATAAATTGACATATAGATATCCATATATTATTTAGTTATTATTATTAAATTATTTA